CAAAATATTTTCGCTCTCTTTGAGTTATTTATAGGCATATATAAACGTATATAGTAAGGCATATATATACGTTCGAATAATTTTAACAGGTTTTTTGTTTCTTCGTAAAAAACCTAAAAATGTAATACAACTAATACAAGGTTCTCGAAAATTTTTTTACAAAAATAAAAATATAGAAAACACATAGACATTTTTTTTTTTTTGTACGCGTTTGAAGTTGATATTTTAAATATTTTGATGAGATTGTATATTTATGCGATAATTTATGATTTTTTATCGATCTATTTTAGTCAGTGGCGTAGCCAGGGAGAGGTTTGAGGGGACTGTAGTCCCCCCTCTCGAAATTTTAAGAACATTTAAAAATTATTGTATATTACTATTAAAATAAAATATCCAAAGTATTTAAAGTATACAAGTATATTAAATCAATATATGTTAAGGGGTTATAGAAACAAAAATTTAAAATAAAACTTCAGCATCTGCATGTTCAAATTATGAAAGAACCTAAGTAAACCACAGCTATGTAAAAAAATTGATCAGCCCCCTCTCCTCGAACAAAAATCCTGGCTACGCCACTGATTTTAATTATTTTGATGTACTAAATTAAAAATAATATGCATCATTGAAAGGAGATTTGAAATTTTTTCTCCATTACAAACATAAATAATTATCTTCTATCTACAATGATATTTTAAAAATAATTAGACCAATTTTAAGCATTTTAAATTATAAATGTCATGAACCTTTTCGTCTTTCGGCTGTCGGTATTGGAAAAAATTATCATATACTAAAATATCTATCAAACAAAAAATTCAAGGTTAAAAGAAATCAACGAATAAGATAAAAAATTATAGTTAAAAAATTGATTTAAATCATATTTAAAAAAATATATCCATTTTTGTAATGATTGACCTAATGTCAATAATATGTTATACGTTATAATTTATAACTTATAAATTATAGTAAATAATAATAATGTAATACGTAAATGTTCATAATATGAACAAATTAATAGTAGCCAGTACGTATAGAAACTAGTATAAGTATTTATAATTTACAAAAAATACCAAACGGACAAAATGTACCTTTGGTTATCATTGTTAAGTGTACATAAGCGGAATCAGTTCGAGATAACGGGGGGAGGGGACGAATATTAAGCCGCATTTCCGCGACTGGTGTATTGTCAAGTACACCTGCAATAATTGAGCACTTGTACAAGTAACCAAGTTCACTGTTTTCACAGCTGGCTGTTTATAGCAAATATTGGTGGTGAAGGTTTCATTTTAATAATAATTTTTAATATTTTGTTTTTTTGTTAAAAAAATTATTTAAATTATTATATTATAAAATATTATTTAATATTAGTACCCATTAACTTTGACGTCATTTGATCTGGACCAAAGTTAGCATGCTACTGTTTTCCCGGTTTACACGAACCAGTCGTGGGATCAGCAATAATAAGTATAATGGCCGTTCCTTTGACTTATGACACATTTACCCATAATCTTCGGGAACGGCACCAGTGACAAATAATTGTACAAGTATACTGATCCAATGAAATGGCAAGTAACCAGCAGTACCAAATATTGGCCAAGTACACCAGTTGTGAGAAAGCAACTTTAAAAATAACTTATATATGTGAAGTATATCATACTTATAATAATTAGTAGACAAAATACGTCTACTCAATTTTATCAATGATTTCAAATATTTCAATATGCTTTATAATGGTAACTATATTTACTAATTTTTATTATCTAATTTCATCTATGTAGAATGTAGATGTGTAATATTTATTGTAATTTTTATCCATTATCTAGCTATTATTACCGGTGACAATTATTGTTCCTATATCATTGTTTATAATAAAATAAATTAACCTTATACATTTAAAAATGTAATGGTTTGTTTTATTTATTTGGATATTATCGAATATATTAATTGATCGTTTATAATTTAAAATATTTAAAAACATACGCCAACATAAAATTATTTATTTTTTTAACAGAATACTTTTTCTGATATTATTTATATTCAAATTATATAAAAAAAATTGTATAATTATTTATAACAAAAGAAAATTTTACAATCTGTACACAGCTATAATAATAAGCAAATTTGATATATTTACAAAATTAAAATAATATGAATATCATGTTAAAGAAAAACCCACTCATTGTAACACCTCTTTAATAAATTAAGTAAATTTCTACACCATTTACGCTTTAATTTGCGTAGCGGGATTTTAGGAAGAGTGACCGCCAAGGCCTTACCTGGTGTGTGGGTTCAACTGCTTACCCCTGACATTTTCTCTCATTATGCAAACTTAGAAATTTAACATTCATTTTTAATATTAATACAACATTAATAACAAAGCATTATAGCTCAAAAACTTGCAATATAGGGCCATCAGTGCATGGTATGACGTGGTGTTGTAGTATAACGTGGACGTTGTAGTCACTGAATGATGCTAATAAATAATAATCATAGTTGCCAAAGCGGCAAAGCATAATTAAAAAAAAAAAAAAAAATTGAAATATACTAATATGGCTTAGACTAAATTTCCAAATAAATATTTATCTTTCGACGAAATGCAAGTAGGGATCTATATTAAACGGTCTTTAACAACAATAATCTTAATAATCTTTATATTACTCACATGCTAATTCCCTGAAAACTTTTTATAGGTTCAGCCTTGGTGACCGCATACCTAAATTTTGATGAAAAGTTTGTATATATATTTATAACTTATATATATTATTGGTATTTTACAATGATGCTCAAATTATCTGATAATTATTATTTTATTAAATCGGCTATTCTCTACTTTTTTATTTAATTGGACTTTTTATTCAATATGGGTAGTATCTTTTGTTTTTTTTTTTTAATCTTACATTTATAAATCCATTAGTTCTTTGACTTAGTATTTTAACCTAGATTCAAGGTTGAATATCTTTTTATACTATTATTCTACGGAGCGTCGGGATTGACTTATAAATCATGAGCAATAATTTTGGCAGATTCAACCTATATCGAATTTTTAACATTAATAATAATAATATAACATTTTAAATGATGATCCATAAGTCTCTTTCATTCAGAATAATTTTTTCGAAAAGATACACAAATTTATCATTTATTTATTCAATTATATATAATATATACCCTTTTCAATGAGCTACACAATAATTATGAAGTCACGAGGACAAGAAGTACTTGAAATCAAATCAAATCATATTGTACAGCATATCGAGTTTCCTAGTTTTAGTTTTTATATCTATATTTTTGTCCTTCATGTATTATGATTAAATATTATAATTACAATTTGCATTAATACCAAAAATACTTAAACATGATTCAAAGGTTGGTGGTCCAAACCTGTGGGCGGGGAACCCCTTCACTGGTTGCTTCACCCCAATAATCCGTATAATACACAATATTCATAACGATTCACAGATCTCAATAATATTTCTTTGCAAAATAAGTAGAACTATAGAGCGATTCAAAAGTTTTAAGCAGTTATGTATATTTTAGATTCTAAATAATTAAAACATTTGCTGGAATTGGTATACCGAGTGTAAAGGAAATATTACTAAAAATAATTTTCATAATTTCTCAGTGATTTTTTAGAAAATATCTGCTATTTTGTGAAAAGTGTATAATATGTAAATACGGCAAAATAGGTCAACAAGCAGGATTTTTTCATAAAGAGGATTAAAAAAAAAAAAAAATGTAGTATTATTATATTTATATTATTTTTTAAAGTCTATGAAAAGCGTGTTGTTTAATTATAGTTTTTTGATCGTATATTATACATCAGGAGTCTTGCAGAAATGAACTTCCTTTTAATTCGATAAAACCAGTACCTAATTTTTATGATGACCTAGATGCAAAAAATGGCAACGGAGGAAAACAAACTTATGGTACATACTAATTTTAAATTCGTTTATTTATATTAGGGTTACGAGTTTACAACGTAAGATTAGGTTACGTAACCTTTACGTCAATACCTAATAACCTTTGAGATAATGTAGTTTAATTTGGCCAAATTAGTTCCCATTTGAAAAATTTATTTTACTAAGGTAAGCTTAATTGATGCTCATTTAAATTAAAGACGTATCCCACTATTGCTCGAGTTGGTTCTTGTTTTTAAAAGTAAAATGTCTAATTACACGCATAACCCTTCCCATTTTTATTGACTTAGGACTTTTAACTTAAAAATAACTATTAGTAAATTGAATTTAAAATTTAAATGTTAATACTTAATTTGAAGTAAACTTTCGTCATATTTTAATTACGTAAGTATTTTATAACGTAGTTTATCATATAGTTTTTAAAATATAACTTTATAATGCAAAAAGTTTCTTAAAATTTAAGATTTGAACTATTTTATTTATGTTAGCTTAGAAAGATAAGAACAATGTATAAATTGGTCGTAATTAAATAAACTTTAAAAATGAATATGTACATATTTAACATTTTAACGTAATATTTGAAAAATTGAAAATCTTAGTTCAATACATAATATTGGATGTAAAATAAAGTTAGGCAAGTTGAAACTTGAAATTATTTATTGTATTAAAGTCTATTGTGAAACAATGCCTATATTATGGATCAAGTATCCAATTAGGTTTTAAATTTTCACCCAAAAATTTGGAAAAACAATATTATAAAAAAAAACTTTAACATAAATAATTACAGTCCAATTGGAATTAAAACTTTTTTAAATTAATTTATATATAGATACCTATGTATATATATTAAGATTAAAATAAGAGCCAAAAATTTCATACTAAATAAAATTGACTTATTTAGATATAATAAGGGTGGGGTGGATACGGTAAAGCACCTATACGGTGACTATTCAAGCGTGAAGCACATGTATGTTAAAATATAATAATATTAATTTTTTTAAATTTATTCATGTATAAGTAATTTAAACATAATTACTGTGCAGAGTATAATTAGTGATCAGGAATTAGAAATTAAATAATCACACACGTTGTTATTTATTTTAAATTTACATCGCTTTATTGAGCTTTATTTTTGTTTTTACAAATTTCAGGATTGATATCATTAATATTTTTTATTCATTTTAGACTTGATTATTTGTTGTAATGTGGTGGTTCTAATTTGGCTTGAGCCACTTGTTGCGCTACTGCTCGTTGGATTGCTGGATGGACACTTGGTCCGGTTGGCTGATATCCATTTTCATCGGCTATGTATCCAACTTCAATTGGAACTCCTGAAATAATTATTTTATTTTATTCATATGAGACAGTGTATATATACAATTAAAACATAAAAATATAATATAATATAAATGTATGGAAATTCGAATGTCTATATATGTTTACGTATGAACTGTATGGGTATAATTCATTCATGTGAGAAAAATTATGATTGATTCATCGAAAGCTAAAATAATTTAGCAATTATATAATATATTGTACCTATGTTTATTAAAAAAAACCTTTACGTGTAAGTATAAGTATAAACTATTCGTCGATGGAAAATTACCAGTAATATAATGTCGTTATACAAACCTAAAACTAAATAATAGGTATATGATTATATGAATGTAATATAATATACGATATTATGTTTTAGAGTTATGCACTTCATATACGTATCTATTGTTGAATGCGTATTGATGTGAGTATGCGCGTATCTTATATTTTAAATACAATACTGTTCAATTATTACAATGTGACCATATTACTGTGGAAGTAGTCGATACGAGAAGTAAAAGTGACAGACATTCGGATTGTATTTATTCGAAACCCGAATCAATTGCTGTTGTTTTATTTATACAATATAATATTACATCATGGTCCATCGACATATTATTTCCATTTGGTATATTTGTATGGATCGACTGTCGCATTACATTCAGATACCAGTGGAAATTCAACGATCGCCAAGATAGAAAATCGAATCAAAAATAAACGTATGCGAGACGTCATTATATATCATTCGTTATGCATATAACGTACGACGTATGATATTATGTATATTGTTATAATAAATGTACTTCTATCTATGTTACCTTCTGGAGTTATCGCGGAGTATGATCCTTGGACGGACATCACTGGTGGGTATCCTTGGACGGCCGGATACCTCAGACCTCCCGATTCTTGTCTCTGTGTTCCATCGGCGGATTGGTAACTGTAAGCCGTATACCCGATTAGTATATTATAACATAGCATTATGGCATTTAAACTATAAATTATATTAAAAAAAAACACGCAAAAACCATCATTATCAGCACGCTCACCTGAAACTGTAACTGCCTTCCGGACTGATGTCGAACGATTGCTGTAAGATGGGCACGAACTGTCCGACGTACGCGGGATTTGGGCCATTGTAGAATCTCTGAGGGATGTTGGATCCGGCGATGAACTGCGGAGGCAGCACGCCGTTAAACTGTTGCTGTGGTCCACCGACGTATTGTTGTGGGTACGGTGCCTGTCTGAAGGGATTGAAATAAGGCGATGGCGGCGGCAATGGGGAAGTTGAAACAACCGGGACTGATGCTGGCTGCGCCGTCTGCGAAGAACAGCCCGCGACCAACAACAGAGCCGTTATTCCCGCAAAACGCATCACCTGTACGGTAACAAGAAAAACAAACATTTGAAAAGCGCGTTTTGAGATGGTGGATATATTGATGTGGATTTATTTTTGGTTTGATTTGCAACAGGCGAGGCACAACGAAAGCGTCGTACGACTGTTCAAAAAAATCTAAAAATATTCAAGTATCGTCAACTCACCACTTGATAACCAGACATGATTTTTGCAGGACTGTGAAACTGTGTTGTCTACGACTGCAAATAATATATTATATTGGTTTATGGTATTATGGTGTCTGTTGGATGAGCTTGCCGGATCGATACTGAATTTTAGATGGCAAAAACGGTCGTTTATAAACATTTTATGGCCACGACAATCACTCCCGTTTTGCCTACTCTGTAAATCGTCTGCTACAGCGGCACAATAAGACATAACCCTGCTCACTTGTTATTGAGCAACAGTATACCATCGATACCTAGTCGAGATGTTTTTAGACGTGTATATACACACATAATATTATACCCATTACAATCACTGCATAGATATTATTTGCCGGTTATGAGTACGTATTAATTTTATTAATTGTTTTAAGATGTGAAAGAGGTAGTTTGTTAAACAAATTGCAGTTGAATCGATAAGACACGATCATTATCATGTCAAATACTATTGCATATAGCGCATATAGGTACTTACTATGTGCTATAGAATATACATAACGATACCAAGTTGTTTTGACTTACGGGCATAATATATAATAATAAAGGTCGTCGCTGTATGCTTTATGCATTAATGCATCATATACACAATACATATATTTTTGTATTTTTCATAAAATATATTATTATATACTAACTAAACCAACCAGTGTGTATATTTATATATATGTGTATCTGCTAACTCGTTCGTGAATTATCCTATGAAAGGTAAAGAGAACTGAGTTATATATATTATACATTTATAAATGTAGGTAGGTATTATATTTCTTAAACATCTCAAAATTCGTGCAAAATATATATTATTTATCCATGTTTTTGAAACGGATAATTATTATGGTTTCGAAGTAACATATAATATAATATAAAAGTGTCCATCAAATAGTTTATAAGTACAAATATAGTAATTATTAAATTACATATCTATAATAATAAGTAATAACTAATGGGTATAATGGATATTTGATGTTTGTGTTGTATTATTCTGAATAATTTTTTTTAAGTAAATAACTGTTTTTATTAAGACTCTTATAATAGTATTCCACATGAATAAACATTATTTACATATATATTTAAATATATTTATTTTTATAAAATATTGACAAATATTTAAAATTTGTAAATGAGTTTAATGGTTGATTTTTAATTTTTTTTACTATCTATACGTTTAAATAGTACTATTGGTATTCAATCTCAATATTAAATTTGATTATTTAAACTATAAATGATCCTGTGCGACCCTTGTGAAAATTGTATCACACAAAATTTAAAAGAGCCTGTACATACCTAAATGGTTGCATGTACAACTTATGTAATGCAGATAAATTAAAAAAAAAATTTTAATACATACATTATATTTAAGTTAAATGGTTGAAATAATAAATTGAATATATTATAATTTAAACGGTTAACATTTATGTATATATAATTATATTTACGTGTTAAAAAATAAAAATTTGCTTAATACGTCAAATGTCAATGAATTAGCTATAGGTACGTATGGGTAGATAACACCTATTAAATATATTATTATCTAATATTTCGATTAACAAGCAACTTTAAAGGTGGCTATTTGTCTATTTTATATTATTTATATCGTTTTTTAATTATTTTCCCGTATAGTTCGTGCATTATTATACAGCAAGTCGGCACATCGCATTTAATATAATTAATATTAAGCGCTAATATCGTTGAATATACTGTCATCTACAAGACAAGTATAGGTTCTCGCCGTATACAGATAAGTCGTGTAATTCGCATACAATCATAATATTTCCGAAAATTACTGAAATTACGCGAACTAATGTATGAAAAATATTGGTGATTATGACATTGGTGTTGTATCTATGCGGCTATACGTACCTATATAATACAATATACTTTGTAAAAATAAATTAAGAAATAATAGATCCATAGTTAGCTTATTGTAATTTGTGGGTACCTACCTAATAGGTATATAAAAGTGGGCTGTATTAATGATTATTACAGCTCGACGCTTATTATAATTATACATTGTTCGTCCTGTAGCATAGGGTCCTCACACATCCCGATTTATAAGACTTAAAACGCATTATTATATAACGACGCATTATATCATGTATGTGTATAAATATATGTATGTAATAAATCATGACGTAGTATTTTTTATATATTTTTTATTTGTTGATAACTTTAAACGCATTAAGGTTAAATGTAGTTAGTATAATATGATAGCGTATACGGGTTGATAATCCATTTAATAGTGTACCGCACGAATTACCTCAGTCGTATGTTTTAAGTATTTTGAATTTTGATAGAATAATTAAAAAATTATTGTAATGCATTATGTACTGTTAAAGTTTATATTGATATCCTATTACACGGTCATTTCGTCCTTATGAGTCGCGCGTAACTTTTCTACAAAATTATAGTACTTACACCAAATTTTAGATTCCGAGCACCGCGATGAATGTATCATATATGCTGTGTATTTTCTTTTGATAAAAAAATATTTGTTTATTCATACTTTATAGTGATTACTAATTTATAACCATTTATGATGATAGGATGTTACTTATGTGGTTATGTATCTATAGTTATACAATATATTATACATATAATTATTTTGGTTGTTTATACGCTATAACCAGAAAACATAACAATGTAAATATTTATGACATATACCTATAAGTTATTAAAAAGATTATGACCTTTACACTGTTTTTTAGTTTCTAAACGGAGTGATAAATGTACTGATTTTACAATGATGAATGAAGAGTGTATTTTTATGTGTGTACCTGTATATGCATATACACAAAAAGTAGTTAGAAAAATTATTCAATCCATAACTTTAAGGGTAGTTTTTGTAGAAAAATTGGATTTAATTTGTGCTTTTAAAATGTTCAGTTATTTTAAAAATGAACAAGAAAAAAACAGTAAATTATTTATGGGAGTCTTACGTAATACTATAGTTTTTGGTAAAATTGGTTTAATTGTTTTTTTTTTGTGTGTGCGTAAAATTGATCCTCCGTCCAACAAAATAAAATCCTCCAAAAACAACCTTTTAAATAAATAAATATACAATCAAATAACCAAAAATAAAATAAAATAAAAAAAAAGATAAAAATGTCTGTAATATTAGCATAGTATATAATGTTTGACTACCGTGATATTTCTATATCATAAAAATTTAAAATATATAATTTAATAGCTTAACCCGTAATTGATATTAATCTACCACACGTTTGGAACAAATGTCTATGTATTTTTAGTGTAAGAAAATAAAATAATTTATAGATATATATATATGAGTATATCCTTATATAATATTATAATTTCTTTTCATAATCCTTATTTTATATTTTTAATGGGTCACATATGGTATTTTGATTTTTTTTAAAGAGGGGGTGATTAATGTATACTTTAAGACTCCCTATCGATTATCATATGAATTTTTCGTAGAATATAGATATATTATAGATATTGCTTACACTGTCTTCGAAAGCCGAATATAAACTGTGGAGAGTAGATCATAAAGTCTTATGTAATGTAAAGTATATACTAGATGCAAATAGTATATATAATATAAAATATCATGTAGGCACAGTACGTACTACGTTTATGTATAATATGTATATTACATAGGTAAAGGTACTGAGTACCTATTGCATTTATTAGCTTTGTATTAGTATTGCATTAACAAGTATTATTATTTATAATTTCTGAGTGAACTTTTGAATAATTAAACGCATTCGTCCACTTTTGCCAAACTCTAGAGTTGTATAGCATTTTTATAGGTATTATTCACTATTTTGATTGCTATAAGACTTTGCAAGTATAATAATACTATCAACAAATTGCTCCGGCAATAAAATTTGTCCTTTTTAAATATATGGTACATTTATAGATATATTTATATATTAGCATACAATGGATACTGTGGTTATTTTTGTTTTTTAATGCACTCAATTTTAAGTCTTACTTATCCAGAAAATTTTTTTTTTAATTTCTTGAATTCAATCATTTTCATATTTTTAAAAAAATTATTCGCTCTACACAATATATTTTACAACTCTAATATTGGTCAATATCTGTCTAATGTCTACCTACAAATTGAATAATTTTTTTTTACCAGATTTTGACCTATCTGCCATCGCTTATATTTTTAATCAATATTTTAGCGAAAGTTGTCCTTGTACGAATCAATCATTTCGATAACTTTACTCTTATTTTAGTAAAATACAGTAAATACTAGTTTTATTGATTTATAATCGTTTGTATTGAAGTATAATAAATCAATTTTTTATTAAAAATCAGAAAATTGCATGGGAAATAGAATTCTTCCTGAATAATTTAATGAGGACATAAAAAATACATATAATATTATTAGATATACCATCTATTCTTAATTGGCTATATGTATAATGTACGAATATATATCATATAATAAACTTTCAGTACTTTTATACATCTATTTCTATACAGTAAATTTCGAATACTTGGTTAAAAAAGTTTAATTAAAATTTATTTGAATAGATGGTAATATTATTGTTAAATATACTATTACCTACCTACCTATTTATAATTTATCAAAATGTTTAGAAAATTATTCGTATGGCAATTTTATTCACTTATTAAAATTGATCAAAAAAATATATTTTTACCATATTTTTGAAATTATGATGTTTTTTTATTACACATCCATATTTTGTTTTCTAATTTTATTATATTCAAGAGTAAAATGTAATCCATGATAATAATCACGGTCAAATAATCCAACAATATTTTTAAATATTTAAAAAAAAAACTAAACATTTAAAAAATAAATAACTTAAAAATAATACTACTTAAACTACTTGCTACTTCAGACTTATCCTCAAATCAATATATTTACGTATATACTTCTAGTTGCGTTAAATTTTAATTACCATAAGTTATATTTGGTATATATGTAGGTCTAATAATAAGAATAATTGACAGAAATATATTTTACCGAAGTTCGTAGGTTACAGCCTAAAGGTAAAATAATTATACGTTACGTATACTTCTTGGCTGTTAATTATTAGGTCTTCAGTTGTAGCTACCTATTTACTATTTAAATATTATTTATAATACATAAGGATATATACATATTTGCTACAAAAATA